AAACTGCCAACTAAGTGATTGCATGACATTTGAAGATAGAGGAACAAAAAAATAGATCTGAACTGACCTCCGATGGCGAAAAAAATGTCAAGGTGATTCTGCTGATCCTTCTCATGGCATCTAAATTATTCGGAAGAGAACAATTTCTGTTCCCAAACTTGTTTACCAGAAACCTCATATTTGGGGTACTAGCATAATTGATGTGTGCCTCTTGTCCATCATATTGAAAGCCCAGAAGTCTGCTGGCGTGAATCTCAATACTCACCAGCTTGTTGCAATGAAATATATCCAAATGAAACAGTGCTTCATGGGAAATCCTTACATTAACCAAATCGTCACAGCGTCCCAGTCTCAAAAAGCTGAGAAAAGGGCAACACGAGCAAATGTTCTGAACGCCGGAGTCGGTTATTGTGACACGTATTAGAAAAAGGTATAAGATGGACGAAAAGGCACTGGAATCCAGCGGTGGAGTGAATTTGCAATTCCTTAGGTCTAGCTTCCGTATCGAGGTCCTTTTTTGTCCATCGCCGAAGCAATGCAAAGGGAAGCTATAACGATTTGCAGTCACCAAATGCTCCGGACAAGATGTCTTGTTTTTACCCAAGCTAAGTTTCAGATATTTTGCACCCACCTCGGACGCAAACTGGACCCATTTGTCAAGGTGGGCAGCATGAGTGGAGTTCAAATCAAAACGAACCTGAAACACTCGAACGCCAGTTCCATCATGCTGCAGCAACACTTCATTTGCTCTTTCAATGAATGTCTCTGATCTTGGCCTCCTAAAGTCAGTGGAAGTGGTGCAATCTGAATTGCCTTCAGCAAGAATTTTGTCATCAAGAATAATAGGTCCGCGTTTCCACGATCTCGTGGAAGCAGTACTAGCCACCCTAGAATCTTGGATTGCAAGCGATGCAAACATATTTTCGAAAACATCATCCGGTAAAGTGTTAGTCAAATTTGCAACATTTTCTTGGCATGATTTTCTCTTCCTATCCTTGGGACAGTTTCCTGAAAGAGATACAAAATAGATTTATCGTTCCGAACATAAAAGGAATATTACGGTAAAAAAAATACATAACAGGAATAGAGAGCTCAGTAATATAATACTGTAGCAATTTGTGACTCCTAATAAGAGCGGTAGAATGTGGATTTCCCGTACGAAGCATCAAGCCTGGATATAGAAATTTTGACCAGCAGAGACAACATTTGAACACCATATCAATGATGGCCCGAGACAAGATTATTTGCTTTTGTGAAGACAAAATTCATTTGATATTAAACAGCTATAAATGGGATCGCTGGCGAATGGAAGTAGCAGCGCAACCTGAATTTTCTTGGGCGAGGACGCTGTCGATCGACAGCGATGCAAACATGTCATCCAGATCTTCATGTGCTGATCTGCTGCTTATTAACTCTCCAGTGTGACCTTGGGGTAATCTCCTCTTCTTATCCTCGCGACAACCTGCTGGAAAAAAAAAGAGTGATGCACATTGTTTCAGTTCTGCAGAAACATCAATGTGACATCAATTCAGGCCAAATTAACTACTATATATACCAAATCGAACTGGCTTCGATATAACTGAAGCCGTTGCATATACTGATAAGTGACAGGCGACGCAGACGGCACGAAATTCGTTGGAATATCAAATGGAGAAGCGTTATCGAGATCTTAATCTCACACCGGCCGACAACCCTAGGCTAGCTACTCGATCAAGAAGTTACTCGAGCCCTTGGGTACGGCGGTAGCAACTATATTAGTTAACAAATCCTAAAAGGTAGAGTAGTGATCGTGGGCATTGATTGACCGATCAAGAGGGAGACCTGGCTGGCCGTTTGTCGGCGCCCACGGTGATGCGCGGCTCATGCCGCCGGCCGGCGAGGGTCGACCGGCCAGGGAGCGGCTGTTCCAAGGGGGATGAGGAGGGTTTAGAGATCACGCGCGGTCGGTCGGGAGATATATGGAGGAAGGCGTTCTACTCAACTCAGTCCCGCAGTCCGATTCTTCGTCGCCCTCGATGTGCCTCTGGACCGTCGATCTGGGTCCCCGCTAATAACCATCCGACGGCCCTGAAATTACGCGGAACTGCCATCCCACGAAGCCCACGCTGTTTCCGTGGGAAGCACGAACCGACCCGACGCCTCGCCCGATCGGCCACCAAAGCTGACCTCTGTGTACGGTCTTTTTTTTCTTTTTTCTTTTTTCTTAGCGTCGAATCAGCTCTG